TTGGCAGGGTTTAGTCGTCTGGAAGTAGATCACTAGGTCTGGCCTCGGTCATGAATGAAATAATGTTATTTGATTGTTCCATATCTTTTGTAAGCGAGTTATTTAAAGGTTATGTCTAAAGTAACATCTAAGGCTAGTTGCTTGCCCGATGTTATTAACAACGACAAAAAAGAAAAAAAAAAATCCTCAACGATTTTACAGCCGCCTTGACTAATTTTACGTGAAAAAGTAATGGTTAAAAAGTATTGTCGTAGTAGTTTTAGTAACACTCCATGCATGCTAGAATGGTATTAACAGTGCCATAACTTAAAGTTACTTCCTTCCCAATTTGATAAGGACTTGTCGTAATATTTGATCTTGTAATAACAGTATTATGTGGAGACCCATATTTCTTAATAAATGTGGCCAGACTACTTGGAACTTGATACCCTTGACTTACGCAATTTTAAATGAGGGTTCTTAACTGCGATGTAGCTTCCAACTATTGATTTTTTAAAATGGCTTCCATAATGATCGTCATTACAACTTTATTGTCCTTTTACTTCGATCGACGAGCTTCCAACTTGACTGGCACTTATTACAATAATGCGAGACAGAATTTTTCGATAAAAATTATTTCGTGTGTGAGTATATCATCGTTTTAATAATAAACTGTAATTCAAATAATTGAGAAGTAATCTTAGTTTTATAAAAGTTTAAATTGTTGTAGCTAAGGGCAGTTTTACGATGTTCTAAGACAACATGATCTACAAGTTTCATAACAAAGTTATTATAGTAGTAACATGTGTAGGAATTTTGCTGGATTACATTGTGGGTCTTCTAATGAAAACAGGACCTAAATCCTTTCTAATAATATTAAACTTACGATAACTAAAATTCTTGAAATAGTACTAGCAGTACAAGGCATGTTGGTACTAATATTAATTACGCCCTCCACAAATTTTTAAACGAATGTTTAGTAGTCAAGTATTTAAAGCTAATTTTTGATTTATTAAACAATCTTTCCCATTAGCGATGAAGCACAAAAATCAAACATTTTTCAGGCGAAATCGAACTCTTGTTATTTAACGGGTTTGTTCAAAATGGTGCCCATTTTTTGCAGTTAAATTAAAAGGAAAATGTGTACATACGTTAAAAAAATATAAAAACTCAATTTTGTAAACACAGAAATGTTTGAAACAAGTGAAATCGGAAGCGCTGTTAATGTGTGCTATTTCATTTGCAAATTACTGTTACTGGAAATGATTGGATGACACTATGTTTTATTATAACAAGAGTCGTATTTATTTTCAGTCACAGAATAATTTTATTGCTGTATAATCTGAAGCATTCTTTTCAGCTATTTATGTGATAGGTATGTGATTTTCGTGCACGAAATCGGAATAAATGTTTAAGTAATGATTTATTTTTAAAATAAAACTTAGTTATCTGTTGCACATGAATCAGTTTTTGTGGTTACTATTTTTTTTGCGGATTTCTATCATTAATTTATTCTGGCAATTTTTTTCGTGGGTGAAATTGACTTTCTGGAATTTTATTGCGTGCGTGATTAAATTAGGATTTGTCCAGGTTCGTACCTGTTTCAAAATAGGGTTAATCTTTTTTTGGTGAAAAAAGGTTTTTCTTTATTCAATTTTATTTCTTTTTGATGTAGGATGTCAGTAACCACACAAACGTATTTTTTGCTTCGAGGACATCGTAGAGTAGAAGAGATTTTTTACAAAACAAGCTACAATATGAACATATTACGTAGATGTCTGATGTACATATATTTCACTCATTGATGTTTTGTTCAAGCGTAATTTGTTTGTTATAGATTATTTACGACCGAATTTTGAATGATTCAAATTATAATTTAAATAAATAAACGCCCTTTGTTCTACAGAACGTTGGATTTTAATATGGTAATGATAACATTGTTTCAAACCTAATCAAGACTCCGTTTACAGAATCACTTAATCACGCCATTAATTTAATCAGGCAGTTAATCGATCACGTGATCAAATTCAACGAGTTAAATGCTAAGATTCACGTGATAATCGTATATTAAATTTTAATTCAAAACAAAAGTTTAATTCGCCTACTATAAATCGGCTCTAACTGTATCAAAAAAAAAGGAACAAGTCGCACACGCACACAATAAAATTGTCAGCGGAATTGATTTATTTAAAAACAGTAAATTTGTAGAATTAAATGTTATACCTTATTTATGAAAATGCCTTGTTTTAATTTTTAAATAACTTTAGACTCATTTTTAAATTGCTACATGATGAGCATTTATAAACAAAAGAAACGGTTGTGGTAATTCGAAAGGGCTGGTCCCAGTAAATATTTGCTAGCTTAAATATGGCACTTCCTGAAATTTTAAAACTAACTTTTTGTGTTTTTAGAAAAGTCCCACCCGTTATAAAAATGTTCTTAAAAAATTTAGCTGTAATGTTACATCGGGACAGTTTTTTAACTCTGAACATATGGATTAAGTATGGGCATAATTCCTATATTCAGTTTAAAACAACACACCTCAGTGCATTGGAAGTATGCAAACAAAGTACATACAAAGTAGTCGGAATGAACTTAATAAAGACACTTCTGTACCGCATGAGATATTTAACTTCCTTTCTTCAGTTAAAACACCGTTTATTCTATTTCTTTGGTGGTGTTTTACGAAAGTAAGTCAAACAAATTGATATTTATTAGTGTTTTTTTTTATAAATCAAGTAGATTGACGTAATGTTGGTTGCATACTTCCAATGCGTTGATGTGTGTTTTGAAAAATAGGGATTAAGTTCATACTTCATGTCATATGTTCACAGTAAAAAAATGTTCTTGTGTGTTGGTATTTATGACATAATTTGTTTATGAATTAAAAACGAAACAACTATGTGCTGGTAGTAGTACTAACAGTGATAAATGTTTTAAACCTGAAATGGTGCCCGGCGCATCCACCATTTATTTCACTTATGTGGTTTGTACTACTGCCGAAGGTTACACGCTTTTATTTAAATCTGTCTGTTTAATTACAAGTCAAATAATCAACTTAAACGAAGATATTACATTATTTAACTTACAGATCGAATTTATGTTTGATTACTGAGTATTTATTTATCCGAACCACACCATTTTTTTTTGGGTTTTTGCAATTTCTGTTCTCAGAATTTATTCATTCATCACATAACGCTTCTATTTTCACAATACTTGATAATTCACTTATTAGTCAAATTACAATAATTAACTCTAATTATCTTAATCGTAGAATTTATGTTTTCTAGTAAACGATTGGTTATGATTTATCTCAGCTACAACAATTTTTATTTGTGGTTTTTCTACAACTGTATTTCTCAGAACCTGGTGTGGTTTTACAGTTTTGATTCTGGTTGAGAATTCCGTCTTTGTTTACTGATCATACGATTTCAAGAACGCCTATTTGAATAGGAAATAAATTAGACAGTTCACAACTGCCAAAATGTATTTGTAGATGCTAACAGACTACTAACTATAGCACTTGTACTTGAAATCACTTCTCTTTGTTAAATGAGATTACTATTTGCGGTTAGTAGTTTGTGAAAAAAAAAATTTTCCTTCAAGACTGCAATTTACGTAATGTTACATTAAAAATTTTTGAGAAGTTTTCGAAATAAATTTAGAAATTTTTAATAAAGTGGTTTATAATTTACTAATGGATTATAATTTATAATCCTAACTCACTAGTGGGTTTTAAATCTAACTCATTGTTACTATACAACTGCCTTTTTTTATTAATGCTAAATAATAAGAAACCCATTTCAAACACTCACAACAAGTGCCAAATTAATTTAATTTTAACGAAGAATGTCAAAATTAAATCAAAGACCAATATTTACCGACTATATTGATTATTATAATAATTTCGTGTTATTATTGTGTTTAGAAAATTGTAAGCTTTTTGAAAAATAATAAACAAAGAGTAGTTTTTGGACTTATTTTATTAGTCCGTTGACATGAAACACTTTTCGTAAAAATTGAAGCTTTGAACTCAGTTACAGTACTAAAAAATTACGTGAAGAAATTTTACGTGCCACTAAAACTGTAAATCTTGCGTTACTTTTTATTTCAGAATTAACCCAACTATGTACAGCAAAAGTGGATAACGATTTTATCTACAAGTGCAAACTTTAGTATACAAGGCCATTAGCAATATAATTCATTTCCGCTAGTTCCTTTAATTTTCTGTTAACTAGCTTTAAAACGCTTTAAAATTAATTACATTTAAATATTACAGTTATGGCAACGTATTACACTTTGGTGTGACTCATTATATTGGTTATTCTTAGAGAACATGATACAATTTTTTCTAGAACTGATAAGGAAAATTAATATTCTGTACATTTTTCCATTTGCTAAAACATCACATTTTTTCCTTTTCAATTAAAACAGTTTTCTTCACGGTGATGTAAATATTTTTGTTGATATTAAAGGTCCAGCCCTATTTAACAGTGCCAAATATACTTTTCAGTGCTGTAATAATAAATATTAAAATTGCTGTTGTTGACTGACACGTTTTATTAACTTTTACGCTTATTGACAGTGATAAAGTGACGGTTATATCAAAATGATCTGCGATTTCCCTGTGCGACACATTCATCTTTACTGTCGTTGAAGATTTTTATTTGCTATGTTTTGATATCTGTGGAAACCATGACCTGTATACTATTTTAGGTTTTGCATTTGAGAAAAGTGTGTAATTTGGGGACATTTATAAAAGTGATTGTCCCTACACGATCAAGCTAGTTTCCATTTCGATTTCAACAAAATGTTTTCAGTTAACATTTCACATAAAGGAGCGAGTCAGCAATATTTTTTTACATGCAATTTTTTTTTAAGTCGAGAAAAATTTTGTATAAGTAATTTCAAAAAATACATGTATTATGATCTGACGTTTGATACTTAGCGATACTTAATATCAATTTCAGAAAAATATGATTTAGTGAAGTCATTTACAACTATTGTGTTTTATTTTTCAGTTAACGTACTCGTGACGATTGCGCGTTGGCTAGGAAATAGCCCGAGGGATGCGCGCTGGGGAGGAATACTCTGAGCTGGCTGATTTGGGCAGCTCATATCTAGGAGGGGGCCGCTACGGAGGTACCGCTTGGAGTCGCACCCCGGGCAGATCCCGGACCAACACAATGCCTGCAGAGGCCGAAGACGTGCTCGACCCCAATGGCAGTCCTAGGGGTCATTCCAGAAGCCGCTCCGGTCTTTACTACTCTCCTCCCGGCACTTCCTACACGATCGTCGAGAGGCCCTCGTCTGTGATGCAGCACCACTCTTCCAGGGACTATAATGCCCATCATTATAATACACTTACTAGTCCCAGAGGTAAGAGATAGTTTAGAAAAAGTACGCAAACTACGACTTTTATAAAGGCTTGCAAAAATTTGGCGGGTGCGCGGTCGACGATCCTTTGAATGCATTTCATGTATACTCTTTGAATTTGTATAGCTAGGTAAATCACCAAATATTCATAAAATTCTTCGAAGGCCAAAACACTCAACCGATACGCAATAGTTATTTGTGTATGAAGGCCATAAGCAGAATTTTTTCGGCCGTTCTAAAGTTGGCAATGAATCAACAAATCAGATGAGGCCGAAAATTGGTCTTTAGCCAAGGTACACAAAACGTTTTTAGGCAACCACACAAAAAAATAATCTGTTATGTAAGTGGTTTGGAGATCGCAAAATCTTTTTTCGTTGTTGATGGCAAAGTCCTGCAGATTTCATAAAAACCAAAGTGGAACTTTGGTCGTCTACTAAAAAAAAAATTGACCCCGTTATGTTTCATAATGACATTAAATAAAGGGGCAGTTCATGTAACGGCGCTTTACGCTTTTTCATTTAAAAAAATTGTGGTCAAAAACACAAGCCCAAAGAACCAAAAGTAAGTTTTTGATATCTGAGTACAAAAAAGTGACAAATCAATCCAAAAAAGTAATTTTGACATTTCGCAGAAAAATGGCCCTTCATGGACGTGATTTTTGTCTCTTTCGTCTTTTCTTTCTTGTCACGCATATTCCATTTTTCATACTAGTCGTCATTTTTTTTTTTGCTTGCTCTCATTTCTCAAATGTCAAAAACCTATTTATATCTGTTGTAATTTTTATTTAAGCATATCTCAAATTTGTTCTTTGATAACTTTTTTGCAATTGTGGAAAATATATGCATTTGCAAAAAAGTCATCAAAGAACAAATTTGAGGTATCCTTGGATAAAAATTACAACAAGTAATAGTTAATGAGTCAATATATACCTATAATCAAACCTCGCTTTTAACTAACGGTGTACAAGCTTTCTGGCTTAAAGCATAATGTGCAAATTTGCAGCTGTTGTTTTTGTTCTTCGCAAGACTTTTCCCTTCCATCCATGGTTTGTCCTTCTTTTTGAGTTTTTTTTTCTTATAATTTCATCCTAGGTTTCTTTTGAGCGTTCTTTTTCTCTCTTGGCTTGTACACTAGCTTTCCAGACCTGTTTTATTTGTCAGTCACTATCTAATCTAACAAGGTGTCCTATCACCTCAACTGTTTACTTACTGTCTATATATTTTAGGACGCTCTGTACTTCTAGCCCTTTCCTCACTTTTTGATTTATTATCCTGTCTCGTCACGTTATTTTTTTACTTTTCGTAAATACCTCATATCAATCGCTTGCATTTTACTTTTTCCTCTTTCTGTGAGTCCCCATGTCTCGCACTCATATGTCAAAATTGGTATAAAGATTGTGTTTTAAACGCCCATTTTTGTTTTCTTTCTTTTCTTCTTTTTTACCAATAAAACTTTTAGTTCGTACAGAATATGTTTTTACAGCCTTCTCTATCCTGTCATTAACATCCATTTCTTGGTTTCCTTTCTCATTAATTATAACTCTCAGGTATTGGAAGTGTTCGACCTGCTTGCTCTAAAACTTTATGTTCAACTTCGATTCTTACCTATTTTCTAGGTTCTTCTACTTTTGCTTCTATGGGCATAATCTTTGTTTTATTTTTATTTATTCTAATAATGTACCGTTCAATACATTTCTCAAGTTTCTCTAACCAAGGTGCAGGTCCGATTGTGCATTCCGATTAATTATACGATTTAAGTCATTTCTATATATGTTTTGAATGAATTCTTCTCGTTGATTTCTCTGGCACCTAGAAATGGAGTGGAATAGTTAATTAGTACCGTTGTAGTTTTAATTATGAGCCTGGATTTGACTTGGTTGTCTTATTCTACTTTTTCTTATTCTTTTTGTAGATTTAAAAAGATTAGGACTTATAATATTCTTTACACATCTGTCTATCTACTACTGCCGTCTTTATTGTTTATTTCATTTGTTCCTTTGTTTTCTTTCTTTGTTCTTTTCTTTTTATTTATATTTTTAGTAAAAATTCTATTCTCTTGATCATTTCTTTTTTCGTTTGACTGTTTCTTCTTGTATTTTTTATTTTCTGTATTGTTAGTAATTAATTACTTTCCGAGCATAAGATACGAAAGTACAAGTTAAGGTAACGTAGAGTTTATTATTGCGAATGGTTGGTTTAATGTTTTCTCAATATTTCGACATCTCTCTGTCGTTTGTCATCTGGTGGCCATTTTAGTAATCTCCAAAACTACTAGACAGACTGTATGTGATTTTCAAATTCAAATTAAAATAGGGTGCAAATTGTGCAACATTCAGTGCGCCCACTAAAATATAATGATGTCACCTCCAAATTTTCTTAAGTTAATCCCATTAAAAATACGAAAAAAGTATGCTCATATATTTGTAGTTTATTAAACTAACTTTATTTTAATCTCGCATAGGTAGATTTTTCAAAAGAAAATCAAATTTCGAATACAAAATTTTACAATTTATCGTCGAAATTACAAAACTGGTCGATCTTTTGTGTACTCTTTAAGGTTATCGCGGTAAATCGATAATTACAACTTTTCTTTCTGTTTATCTTTTCTAAAAAGTTGATGACGTCATCACAAAATTTTGCGAAGTACACGAGTTATGTATCTATACACACATATTTTATAGAATTGTTTACACAGGATTACAACGTATTAGAAAAATTCACTGACAACCTTTCTTTGAATTTTTACATCATAGTGTAACTGTGGCGTTAACTCGTTTCTCTTTTTAACAGCATTTGCCCTCTAATTTGGATTTGGAAATTGCATTAGTTTCTTTCCGGCTGGACTAGAATTTTTATGAATAGGCCAGGGCCGATAATTTTTGAGAACAAAAAAATTTAGAACAGTATGATACTCACTGGAAAAGGAAGAAAATATAACAAAAATAAAAGGAAAAATAATTTACGGGAGATCTGAGGTCGGGAAGTGGAAGAGGGTGAGCTTTTAAGAGTAGAAAACGGTTTATCACGATTTTCGGCAAAACTACAAGTCCTATTGCAAGAAGTGGCAAAGTTCTAAGTAATAAAAGGATCTACAACTTTTGTATTTAGACATTTTTTACATAACCTCTAAATTTATGCGAAAAATGCAAATAACCGAGTTTTTGGTTTTTTATTTTTATCTCCCACAAAAAAAAGTTTTTTCACGAAATTTGGTGAAAACTTACCTATTTATGTCCCAAGCTCACTGTAATTTTTTTGATTTAAAATATTTATTTTTTCCCCTTATTTTGATTTAATATCGAAAAACCACCCTAATTTTCAATCGAAAATTCTCACGTCAAAATGTTTACTTTTTTAAAAAATCGGTGTGCTTTTTGTTCGTTTAAATCTCTGCTTTCTGATGGTGTAAAAAAAGTATACATTACTAGGGAAAATTTTCACAGGAAGTCCAAAAAAACGAAAAAAACTCGAATTCGATTTTTTTTAATCATGTAAAATTTTGAGCTATTTATTAAAATTTCCACTTTAATTACTCGAAAAAAGTAATATTCCATGTTACACTGTTGAACTGAAAAAATGAAAATCCATGAAACAAACGCCTTCTGTTGGTGAGAGAGTTGTCAATATGAAGGATGATTTAATTTTTGCCAATTGATTTTCGAAATCTTAATTGATTCAGTGTTATATTGTCATTTTTAAATTTATAAATATATTTGATTAATTGTAATCCATTTTTTTTGCGATATCTTCTTTGTTTGCATGTTTTTTATAAAAAATATAGGCCAAATTTGACAAATTTTTGTCGTCTAACTAGCAGACCCAGCAAACGTTGTTTTGCCATATAAATTATTTCTAGTGAATATTTTAGTAGTTAAATAAAAAATTAAATTAAAATAAATAAATAAATTATAACTAAATTATAACTAAATTAAATTATAAATTATACATAAAAATTTATCGTACGGCAATGATTATATTCAACAGCCATCTTGAACCCTATTGCGTATCTGTGGATGAAAGTAAAGATACTAATATCGTTACTACAAAATGGGGGTTCGTGGTAGAAGGGTGAAAATTTAGGGTTATATGTATTTTTTGAAGCCAAATCTTAAAAAAATAAAAATAAAAAAAAAATTTTGGGTGAGCTACCCTTATCACCTAGTGGTATAAAAAATAGTTTACGACCTATTCTCAGACCTACCGAATATACACAGGAAATTTCATAAAAATCAGTCAAACCGTTTCGGAGGAGTTTGGTTACACACACTGTGACACGAGAATTTTATGTTTTAGAAGACAATGAATTTACGATGTTTTTCTTTCCTTTTCCGGCAAACCCAGAAAAACCTCAACCAGAAAAACAATACAGAAATGCAACGATATTTTTGAAAGATTCATATTTGAAATTATTGGACGTGAAAAATAGATGTTTTACATTTCCAGAACCTGGTTTGAGAAAATAAATGCCATAATTATTTGAATTCAATTGATTCAACAGGACCAAAAGATTACTATCTTGACCCACAACTATGACAGTTTTATTAGTATCTCTGGCAGTTTCTATCGAGATCTTAATTATGTCGGCATCAGCATCTTCTTCTGCTTGTTTACAGGAAAATTCTTGTGACTGTAGATTCCAATGGTTTCTTTTAAATAAGTCAATTCGTCACGATTCTCTTCAAGTAACTCAGCCTGCTCGTGTAATTTTATAAACGATGTTCATTCTTCTGATGGGCTAAAATTTTCCGTAGGCCATTCAGGTATATAAGTTATCTTAAAATAGCAATAAATAGGCACCTATGCATATAATTTAAAAATTATCCTACAACTTTAACAAAATATTGTAGATGTCTTATAAAGTATTAACTTTATTAACTTATTTTGTTGTTAATTATAGTAGTATATTTCGATTTGCAATTTTTTAATTTATCAATGTAACATGGAATCTTACGTTTTTTGAGTAATTAACGTGTACATTTTAATAAATAGCTGCAAATTTTACAT